CTGAAAAGCCCATTTGGGACGAATGAAGTATGTATGTATGTCTAGAGAGGGTTGGGGAAGGAGGAATCCGAGATAATCTTGCACAAGACTGGTTTGGTCGCATAAGTTGGGTCAGGAAGGTTTTTATTTTTTATTGAATGTACGTTGTGGTTCCACATAGTCATGGTAGCCTGCGTAGCTGCCGGTTGTGTTTTTTTTGGGCAAACGAGTAGCGAAGCCGCGGGAGAAATGGGAAAGAGGCGCTTCCGCCAACCATAACTGCCAGTAACGCAAACTAGTGGTCATGCTTACCAACCTAGTTTTGTTCTTTCGATAGGTAGGTGTATGTAGGAAATGCAGAAAGCGATTAAAGGAGATGATACATAGTAAAGTGCGTGATATTCAAGTCTCAGAACTGTGAGCTGAATCTAAGATAACTGAGCAGCTGGAGAGAATGGCGTTAGTGAGTATGTAAAAATCAAAAACACTGTCAATTGTTACTTATTAAACATTTGCAAAAAAAAAATCACGCACACAACAGATGAAAAAGATTAAGAGTTGTTTTATTTATGAATTATTAGCTGATAACGCCACGTCACGGAAAACAGATGCTGTCATCCCAAGGCATATGACTGTTTGCCACTGTGTGTCGTGATAGAGAGGTTCAGACGCTCTCTATTCGTTGCAACAAGATATTTCTAAAGCATTTTGTTTAACGTCATAGCATTCTAAACACAAATTAAGGACTGGGGTGTGTGTGACGAGTTTCCGGTTTCCAGACTCTCATAAAGATCAATAGGCATAAGGGTATTCATAAATTGCTTCATAAATAAATACTTCCTGCAGTTGAGATGATTGTAGAGGTGCTTTAAGCTAGTGAATAACGCTTGAAGGAAATGAAAAATGATCTTTTTCCATGTTTAGGATGGTCGTGATGACGAGGTGGCCTTCAATCTTCCAGAACCGGTGCAAACACCACAGAGTGTAATAACAAATGCTCAAACACCACAGAGTGTAATTACGAATGCTGAAACACCACCAGGTGTCTATCAGCCATCTGAATGTTTTACAACTCCATTTAGAGATGACTCAGTTGAAGTGACGAGCAACTCAAAAGAGAAATTGAATTCCTTTCTGGCTTCTAGAGGCTGAGTCCTATCCGTTATCCGTTCGATTTTAGGCTTTGAGTGCATTTGATAGTTTTTGGCGGGTAATAAACAAACGAAATGGCGACCTTTGTTGCAAAGA